TCTGCCGAAAATAAATACCGAATCTCTGAATCATGCACCGAGTAAACCTCCTTTCAGGTCATTCACTGCCCCGACACATAAACAAGCATCCTACAACCACATTAATACTGTGCGATACCAACTCATGAGCATCATAGCAACCTGGGCATAGCCTTAAAGCTCTTAGAGGTACAACTACTGAGCTGAAATGACAGAATATCCTTCCGCAGGGCAACGACAATAGCCCAATCAATTACGCAGGGAGAAACATCCTGCACCACATTCGTAGTACCATTACGATTCCTCAATTCCCGATCGATAGCAAGCGCTTCACATCGCATAAGATTGAATAGAAAGAAATAAAGGCATAATCCTCAAAGGAATCAAATTCCACGATGAGGAATCAAGAAGGGAAGTGCTCATAACAGCCCTGTAGCCTCTTGAAGATAAGCACACACGTCTACATACCGATCTGCAAGACTCTACTAGACTTGCTCATGACTCATGAGACCGAAGTGAACCCAGTGCTCTGATATCATGCTATCATGACCCAAAATCCGTTAAAAGGTCGTGATGGCGCCGGACACCACTGTCAGGAAAGCCAACACCAAATAGTTAATTTAGTTCTCATTTTTAGTATTTTTTTTGAAATCATAATTTCCTTCAATTAAATAATAAGCAATGAACTTCACAAAGTAAATAATAATATTTTTAACAAGTTTCAATACTGAATAATCCCATAGTCATCCCTGAACCCGGTGTCACAAGTGCAAGCATTTACTAGGAATTTAAAATACAATACAATAACTGTCCGGAATACAAATTTGGACAGAAAAAGAAATACAACTACTCTGAAGGAGACTCTGCTAGCTGCGGATCGTCTCATAAGATGCAACTCACCTGAGTCCCCGTGTCAACCACGCTGTTGCGCCCACAAGGCCACTAGCCATACATGTGTCTGTATAACAAAATGTACAGCAAGTGTAGAATGAGTACGAAAATGTGTACCCAGTAAGTATCCAGTCTAACCTTGAAGAAGTAGTGAAGAAAGGTCGACTCCGACACTTACTATGTCCAACAATAATATACCGATAATATGATAACTTATGGATTTTATAAGGCGACTGTAAACTCAATAACATGAAGCAGGTAAACAATTCTTTTGTTTATAGGGTATTTCCAATTTATTTTCATCTTCTAACAATTTATATCTCCGGCCAATGAGGCCAAATCAATTATCAATAATTCCAAAACAACAAATTAAGTCATGCGCAAATCATGTCATGGTCGTACGGCCCGATCCAACATAATATTTAAACTGTGCAGTTGCACTGCCGAGGGTTGAACGGCGCGAACCATTCTTGTCCACAATATCTACATACATATTTATTATTTCCTTTAGCATCAACTTTTTCTTCAAAAAAATCCCATGCCCGAGATCGTTTTTCCTTTGTCTTGTAACTGTCGAGTGAGTAGTTGTAGCAGTAGACTCAGAACCTCTACTTTCATCAACCACTTGATCAATTTTATCATATTCAGCCATGTGAAGTGAATGAAGAATATAACTTACAGTCTTAAACGAGTTGAATGAAGCAAAGCAAGACGAAGTCAGCACTCCTCGCTCTTGACCTAAAAATTATGGCTGGAAAGAAATCAATTTAAATAAGATCCTTATCCAACAATACTTTTATAATAAAAATCAAAAAAAAAATTTGAACAAAAAAAAGTCACAGTAAATCAATATTTAAATTGATCTGAAGCTTCATTTGGACATGTCATTAACAATCTCAACTGAGACTGTCTTGTAGCCAAAAAAAAAATGCAGTAAAATCTTCCTTTTCATATTCTGTGGCAGTACAAAGGATGAGCCAAAGAATTCACCATCATAAAGGATTCAGTTAACATTCAAAGCTGCAAGTACTTATGTTTTTAACTGGACATAACCTAGAAAAAGCACCCAGCCTTAATGATTGGCAATATTATCGCAATCTTGCAGGTAAGAACTCATTATAAAGCCTCATTGTTCACCTCAAGCAATCATTTAGCAAATGAAGCCATCTACGAGTTCCCAAAAGCAAACAGAGCGAGAAAAAGCTCAAAAGTATCTAAGACAACTTTCTCTAAACACAAATTGAATATTGAGAAAAATCACTATTTCACGTGTAATATTGCTCAAACAATTGTTCTTTATTAAGTAACATTTTACTAGTATTTAAAATACTGAAATCAAGTGACACTGAAACACTGCAACTATGAGAAATCGAAAGTGTGACTAAACTGTAAATCTATATTGTATAATCCTAATTCCTAGGGGCCTTTCCACCTACTGGACTTCAATTTATCGCTGTTAGGCCAACAAGGCAGAGCATACGCCAGCCTCATGATTAACCAGTGATTAGAAGCAACCCAATCACCGTTCCCCATAATGCCAGCTCAGAAATTAAAATCTTACTCCATCAGAAGAAAAAGAAACAAATCTACCATTATATGCCTTGTCATAATCTAACAGAGAAATCAAATATCAAGAAAAGATATTGAGAAGGTAAAAGTGGAATACCTGTGAAAGAAGAACCTGTGAAGCGGCGCTCAAGAATAAGGGAAGAGGAAATAATAGTATAAGGGTATATTTGTCTTTTTAGTATATCTTATCGGTTTATCGATAAACCGATAACCATAGAGGACAAAATCGAAATCGAAATCGATAACTCGATAAGAAAAATTTCGAAATCGATAAACCGATAACAAATAACCGATTCGATTTATCGATAAACCGATTTGAGTGCACACCCCTACTGTGCACTACCGAGGGTTGAACGGCGCGAACCATAGATGCATCTAATTACCCCGCTCGCGAATCATACATGCGACGCGTTCAAACATAAATTTAAGGAATTACCCCGCTCGCGGATCATACTTGTGACACGGTCAAATATAAATTTAACGAATTACCCCGCTCGCGGATCATACTTGCCACGTGGTCAAATATAAATTTATCATTAAATCATAACCCTTTCTTGATTCTTTTCATTATAAAGAAAATTCAACTTGAAGATTTTAAATCCTTAAAAATTCTCAATTTAGTTCCATGTGATACAATTAACAAATATAATCAAGTAACAGTGTCCACAAAGCATGGTGTGAACCTAAACTTACCCGAACATAAACAGGAATAGTAGCTATGTACGGACTCTTGTCACCTTGTGCGTACGTAGCCCCCACAAATAGAAGCACATATTGAATTATTTCACCTATGGGGTAAATTCCCTCTTATAAGGTTATAAAGGAGACTTACCTCGCTCCGAAGCTCCATAACCGGCTCCCAATCCATTCAAGCAACTCAAATCGATGCCAAACGCTCCAAAAATAGTCAATAAATGAGCGAATCCATAAATATATACTCAATTACTCATTTTAATCATATTTACAATAAATTCCCAACTCCGCTTGAAAATTCGATAAAATCACCCCCGGGCCCACGTGCATGGATTTCGAAAATTTCCGAAGATAAACTTTACCCATAACCACGAACTCATATATAAAATTTGTTTCCAATTCCATGCCCAAATTCGTGGTCAAAATCCAAAAATATCAATTACTAGGTTTCTTCCAAATCCCACGATTTCTACTAATTTTCATGCTTGAATCCATAATAAAACCATGTATTTTACTTACAAGAGGTGGGATTAACTTACCTTGACATAAATGATGAAAAACCCCCAGTTAGCCCTCCAAAAATCGTCCAACCAAGAGAGAGTGGAATAAAATGGGCCAAACCCCCGCTTTAAAGAAACCTCACTGCCCAGCGATCCTCGCACCTGCGGTCACTTGACCGCTTCTGCGGTTCCGCAGGTGCGGGAAATGATCCGCTTCTGCAGAGATGCCCCCAGCTGCCCGCTCCGCTTCTACGCCTTCTCTTCCGCAGGTGCGGTCTCGCTTCTGCGGTGAAATGACCACATCTGCGGTCTCAGCACCTCCCCACCAAAATCGCACCTGCGCCCTTCTTGGCCAGTTCTGCGGCTCCGCACTTGCGTCCCAAACCTCGCAGGTGCAGTTACACCAGAAGGCAGCTGCTTCAGCCGTTTTTCCAAGTCCAAACTCGATCCGTTTACCATCCGAATTCACCCGAGGCCCTCGGGACCTCGACCAATTATACCAACACACCTCAAAACACATTACGAACTTAGTTGAGCCTTCAAATCACATCAAACAACGCTAAAACCATGAATCGCACTCCAATTCAAGCTTAATGAACTTTTGAACTTCAGACTTCTACATTCGACGCTGAAACCTATCGAATCACGTCCGACTGACCTTAAAATTTGCACAGCGGTCACATTTGACTTTACGGACCTAATCCAACTTCCAGAATCGGATTCCGACCCCGATATCCAAAAGTCCACTTCCGGTCAAACTTCTCAAAAACCTTCAAATTTCTAACTTTAGCCAAATGACTCGAAAATGACCTACGGACCTCCGAATCCACTTTCAGACATGCTCCCAATTCCAGAATGTAGGCATGGTAACTCGTGGATTCGGTGATATTGAATTGCACTTCAACCCAAATTTATTAATTTCTTCCAAATGTCAACTCCCACAATAGACGCTGAAATGCTCCTGGGTCATCAAAAACTCGATCCGAACATACGCCCAAGTCCGAAATCATCATACGAACATGCTGGAACCTTCAAATCGTGATTCTGAGGTCATTTACTCAAAAATCCAACTTTAGTCAATTCTCCCAACTTAAAGCTTCCAAAATGAGAATCCTCTTTCCAAATCGACTCCGAACTTCCCGAATTTTAATTCCGACCACGCGTACGAGTCATAATACCTGAAGTAAAGCTGCTCATGGCCTCAAACCACTGAACGATGCGCTAGAGGTCAAAACGACCGATCGGGTCATTACAATCAACTAATTCCTACGTGGGGCATTTCTACAAGTAGGCTTATTATGTTCACCATGCCCACATATACTACACGTATGTTGACTCTTCTTCTGAAGCAATTTACTTAATGTCTTATCACACTTCTTCTTTTGGCCTTACAAGAGGTCTCTTCCATTTGGGTGGTAAGACAACTTCCTCTAATATATGTGCTGGTATATTCCATTCACTTCGATCAGGGAGAGGATACACAGGCACCTCGTATGCCATTATAACAGACTTTGGTTTGTAATAGTCCGAGCAATAATCATCCGGCATTAGAAACTTGCTTTTCAAGACAGCCCAAGCATGTAGGCATGGTAACTCGTCAACTTGGAACCACCCATAACTGCAATTTTTCTTTAGGAGGCAAACAATGTAATACCTTCCTTCTTCATTCACCATGTGCAAGTGTTCAGTCGATAGTACAACCTACATTAAACGGAGAAACATTAGTTTTGGACATCTGTATAAAACATGTATTTGTCCATGAATACATGGCGTACACACAGTATACATGAATACATGATATGAACATTTAAAATACACCGAATACAAACACTGAAATAAATAGAATATAAATAGTGAATACATTTTTTTTGAAATACAGTAAAATACTCTAAATACAAATAGAAATACGGTGAATACAACCAATGAAATATACTGAATACAACAGTAATAACATGTATTAGGAATAGCTAAAATATTGTTAATACAAACACATTTGAATACACTGAATACAAAATAGTGAATACATTATAACTGAAACATTGAATATAATGAATGCGACAGTGAAAACCATATATTGATGCACACTGAATACAACAGTTAAATACAATTGTTAAATACAACTGAATAAAAGCAGTAGGTTTATTAAGATATATGCGGGCAATATGTTAATATTACAGGTTGTATCCGGCATAATACATGATGTATTCATATATCTTAATTTGTCAATGCAAGTAATTATAAAAAAATTACCGTCATACGTGTAAACAGCGCATCATTCAATGTAAGAATCTCTTGATATTTTTTCCTAAGCATTGTGTACGTGTGTAAAGCTTCTTTGTTATTGCTGCAATTCCAACGTCCAAACATCTTTCTAACTTCTTCTAGGAAGTCATATATTGGCAATTCTCTTGCTGATACAAGTGCCAAATTGATTGACTCAATAATATTTGACGTCATAGTCCATCCCCGGTTAACAGGTGCATACAACCTAGCCCGCTTTTCGTATCCAGCTAATTCCAACTAATCTTTTACCCGAATATCCACCTTCTCCACCTTTTCTATTAGACTATCAAATTCATACTGGTGTATGCTCTTCCATTGAAAAGTATACCTTGCTTAACTTCTCATGACTCTTTTTGAATTTTTTGTATAAATTGTTCCATAGATGCCATAGACAAGCAAAATAGGGTACAATAGGATACACTCTGGATACATATTTGATAATGCTCTCATTCCTATCTGAAATGATGCACATGTTTTCACGTTCTCTATAAGCTACTTAAATTGCTCAAAGAACCACAATCAAGCAGTGTCATTCTCTGAATCAACTACACCATATGTTAGTGGCAGTATATGTCCTGTAAATGCAATTGCATACAGACAAAAAAAATCATTACAACTGTATTAAATAATCAAATTAGCATTTTCTATGTTAGTCTAACTTGTATGTTGTTTTAATTGTCTAACCTGCACCATCCAACGTGCTAGCCAAAACGAATGTCCATGTGTATGCTGATTTTATGTGGCTTCTATCCACAACGACGATGGGTCTACAGTAATCGAATCCTTGTATAAAAGCATACAACGATATGTACAAATACATGAACTCATTTTTAGGAGATTTTCCTATTCTAATATGTGAACCAGGATAAGTTATATCCAGTGTATATAAGTACCCTGGTAATTTAATTAGCTGGTTCACCTTTAAGGAAATTCACTGCCTTTTCTCTAGCGCAACATGCCAACATGTAACTAACATCGACACCAAAGTCTGATTTCACATAATCAATTATATCATTTGGTGTGTATTTTCTCTTATGATTAATAAACTTGGACCTTATCATTTCCCTATTTAACCTACTGGTTGCTTGACGTTGCTCATACACTTTATCCTTCAATGGACATGTATGATTATCATTGAACTCCCTCACTTTGAACACTTGGTGATTTGTTAATACTAGAAGCCTTAAATTTACATTCACAATGCTCGGAAATACATAACAAGATATAGCTGCAAATACATTCGTGTTACAAATACAATTGGTTATGTATGAATACAATATATACAGACCACGGCAGGTTAATGTTGAATACAGTTGTATAAACGGGGCATTATGCCTATATGAATACAGTTGGAAATTACTCCTACAACTGATTCGGCTAATCGTTTTCTAACCCAGACACACAACATTTTCATTTTTCAACAAAGTTTTGAATATAGAAACATACAATGTAATACAATGTATGTTACATGAAGATAACATATAATATGTTGAATATATTGTATACAATAGTGTATTATGAATACACTAATATAAATGGTTCACTTCTTCTATAACTATTTCAGCACATTCTATTAAAAACACCGATACAGAAATATACTACGAAAGACAGCAAATATTATGAATACAACATAATATATGATGTATTCATAATATGCTGCTATGCATGAAGTATAAAACTATTACGAATACACAAACATACGATTGAATATAATATATATTATGAAGTTGTAGTAGAAAACTCAAACCTGATAGCATTTGACCTACAACCCGGAATTGAAACCTTTCAGCAATTGCATATTGCTCCATCACGCCTTCAATGTGGACTTATCCTTATATACTTGTCCAGGCATAACCTCTTTTTGATTAGTATTTGAAATAATCAAATCCTTTTTCAGTTCGAAAACTTCAATTGATTCATCTGAGTTTAAAGACGCAAGTGCAAGTGTATCAACTTTATTAAATGTATTCACATCATTTGTAGAGTCAAGTTGCATTATGTCACTTTGAATTAAACTTCCTCCATCTACAATTTCCTTATCCAATGTAGTTATACACAATGGATACATCCCGAATTTTCTGTTCTCCTTTTTAACTCACACTGAAACCCATGTCGTTGTGTATTTTCATAGGCGTGCAATTTCCTTCCACTTTGTATTCAATTTTAATTGACTGGGAGCTCAAATCTATGTCAAGTCGCTTGGAAATTGAAGCAACTAAATCATTGTATGACGCATACTCCTTTATCAATATCTCCTCAATCGGATAATCGACATAATAATTTTCAATATTTTACTTCCCAGAATGACGAATTAGCACTGTTAAGCTTGCCATCTAGTAATCGAATTACTAAATATTTCTGTAGATACTTGTATCAACTTTGGGTAGAATTTTTTTTGTTAATGACGGTCAAATCAAAACCTCGAACTATATTAGAAAAAAATTGACCGAATCTCTGAAGCTCTGCAGATTGTGTCTTGTTGAAGCTGAATATCCAATGCTCTATTTTTTGTGTGTAGCGTCTAAAAAATCATTCTAATTCATTGGGTTGATAATGAGGCGTGTTATAATTGATTTTGTTGAGTTATATTGGGTGTGTATCACGTTAATTGATCCTCTTTCCATTATTATATAGTTGGAGAGACCTATGTTTAAGATGATTGTCGTTACTGTATTCATGAATACATGGCGCGAATACATATGAATACAGAGCGAATACACTACCGTAACAACTAAATAGTAGCTATAGGAAGTAATTATGTATATGGTAGCTATAAGAAGTTATAAGGCAACTAAACAATAGTGATTTCTGAAAATTCCTATATGATCCAGTGGTCTAGTGGTAGAATAGTAGGTTTGAAATTTTTTGAAATAGCGATCTAAAATATGTTATAGTACTTTATAACACAAAAGCGAAGTCAGAATTTAAAATTTATAGATTCTAAACTTGCTACCAAACTCATAGCTCATTTTAGTTACTGTATTTATAATCAAATATTTATACATATTTGATATATTGCCTAGTACAAATACTTAGGTCGAAGCAAAAGCTAATGGATTTGTCCGAACCCATATGTAAAATGTACCTGCACCCTTATTATAATACTTTTGAAAATTCATGATTTTAAATATGTCATTTATTGTTAGACAAATAGCCAATCAGATTAAATGTTTATTTTTTCTATCCAGTATACATAGTTATACATTAATTATATATGTATTATACATCTGGCAGTTAATTTTAATTTAATAGATTAAGTGGGTGGCTACTTGGGTTAATTCTTCTAGTATGTTTATATGATATTTATATGGTTATTAAAACCTATCATTGAAAATCTATACTATATTGAAAGCACGAAGCCCTTATCGAAATGCTGATCGACTTTTTTACCCTTCGTAAGTGTATTCTATGGTTGATAAAATTGTAATTGTAAACACTAATTATTTTTCTGGAAAAGAAAACCAAAAACTGTCGTTTGTTGCCTTTTTCAGTTGAGTACAACTTATTCTTATTTAGGCTTTGGATTCATTATAAAATTTGGATTTTTCTATCAATTAAGGTTACTAATTAATGCTACGTCCTATTTTGTCTAGGTATTTATTTACCGTAAAAATGGTAATAATAATTAAATTTGATTATGGGATTCTAAAAATATGTGATCTATTTTTATGCTAGTTGTTAAGCAGTTGATGCTATGTGGAAGACTTAGAAGCGAGATAAGAGCTTAAAAACAAGATGTTAATCAAACCGAATAACTGTCAATTGGGGCCTCGAGCTCGCCTATTCGGGGGTCTCGGGGTCGAGTCGGGTGCTCGGTTGGGAGCTATCCGGGGTAATCGATGGGCGACTAACAGTTGGGATAAAATCAATGACGGCTCTTTATGGCCAATATTAAGCAGTAAATGATGAACAATAAATAGAACACAATGAATGGAAGAAATAAATGAAGTAATGAACTCAAGAGAATGTGTTAGAGAGCAGAGAGAATGTTTGTATATTTTAGTATTGAGCATCAGATGTTTACAAAATGGCAAGGATCCCCTTTATATATGAAGAGGAATCTCCACACAGTACAAGATGCATTAATTATAAAGATATGGGGCAGGTATAGCCACCTAATGCCTTGATTCATTTTGAGACTAGTCCACTAGGCTTTGTCAGCTCTAGTCACGTGCCTTGGGAACGCCACCTTGAGTCGCCGAGACCGGTGATTCACATTGTCCCGGGGCCGGTCATTACTCATAACGTATCGAAGTCAAACTCTCTCGAAATCGACCGTCGAGGATTCTCGGAGTCGAACACTGGAAGCCCTCGAGATGTCGTGATGCTCGTGAAATCGGGCCATCGATTTCTACCGTATACAGTATTCTTTTGTTTTGTTTAGGTATACGATTCACTAAGTTTTCTTTGTTTGGAAAAAAACAAAAAATTGCCATGTCTTTTCTTTGTTTAGGGATTTACTATTCTATTTTTTTTTGTAGAGGAAAACCAAAATATTGCCATTTTTTAGAATACAGATTTATGTTATTTAGGTTTAGGTCCTTTTCTTTGTTTCGGTTTGGCATTGACTAATTTTCTTGGTGGAAAAACTAAAAAATTTAGGACTGAGGCATAACTTTTACTGTTTTTGTTGAATTGATTGTGTCTAAATATTTTTTGACTTATTTTTTCTTTGTTTAGATTTACGATTCCCTTGTCTTTTGATTTCTTTTACCAAAACTGCAAAATGCAGCAATAATATCACTTTAAGTTTAGGATTAATTTAGCAATTATAATTTTACTTACGTTGAATTTTAAACTTTTAAACCAAATCCATTTAGTATAAAGAGGAGCTCATTATTTCATTAAAAGAATCTTGAGAGTGTCGGCGAAAGTAAAATTGATAGTGCTTTGAGGTAAATTTTATAACCTTTAGTTTGTTCTGGAAGTTATGTAATTCTTCATAGATAATTGTAATATTAAATGTTGTCATGTCGTGATTATTGTGTACAATATCTCTGTGATGATCCGACCAGTCGTCTCATGAGTTACCGTTCCGTTTCCCCAATTTTTGCTTCTTTATGCTTCGTTATCCGTGTTTTATGTGATCAAGTTGTTTAGTTTGCGTTCGGATTGGATTTGGTAAGAAATGAGACACTTAGTCTCTTTGAAGAAGGTTTAAGTTGGAAAAGTCA